AGCTAAAATGTTACGCGATTTCTTCTTGTATGTTTCTCCTTTTTTCGTTGTTTATTATTTACCTGATGATTATTCTGCTCATTTTCTTTTGTATTACGCATGCATTAAAACGCTTTACTTTTTTTAAAGATAAGAAGTAGCTACATGGCGTTGATTATCTGTTTCATTTATATCATAAATCTCTTTCTCAGTTGTATTCAGAACGTTCTGAATCAGCAACCACCCATTATCATTTTCATTTGTTTTCTCAAGTAAACTCTCACGATGCTTTGTATTTCACATCTTGTTTTCCTCATGAATCATATCTTGCTTATGCTTTAACACTATGTAAAAGAAAAACATATGTTTTGAATCAATTTGTTACGTAGTATGAAATATCTCAGAATACTCAAAAACCAAGTTCTTTTTCGCTTTCTGATATTTTCATAAAAGAAACTTGTTCTGTTTCATTTGTTGCTCATAGTTTTAATATATCTATTCACCACTATTTTAGAGATTGTCTACAAACATTGTCTGCAAGTGAGTTTGATAGTATTTTTTTTCTGAATACTCTCATAGTTTCGTTTGTTTTCATTCTATGTGTTATTTCCGTCGAGGTCATTCTATTAGTCATTTTGTTTCTGTTCAATTTGCATCATGCATTAGCGATGACACATGCTTCGCATCTATTCTATTTTTGTTTCTCATTGAACAATCAATATTATGCGTTTGTTAAACTTTATCCATGTCTTGCGCGAAGTTTCATGTCCGAATAGAAGATACCTGTTGTACGTCTTGTGAAAAAAAATCATTGATTCAAATTTTAAGTTTTTCGGCGAGAAAATCTTTTTTTAAAACATTGCCCGTATCTATTATTGTGAAAAAGGTTATAAAAATTCCTACTCTTGCAGAAAATCTTTCTTCGTTTACTCCCATCGATTTTGAGTTTGAACATGACTAAACAGCTTATGTTTAAATTTCTCTACTATCATCCCATTGTAAGAGTTCATGATTTTTTTATCAGCATCAGTTAATTTGTTTTAGATTTTAAAAATATTCAATGGAAGGAACAAAACGAATCAGAAAACCAACTTTGTGCTACGATCCAAGTGCCTATGTGCTTGCTTCATTTCTGAGAAAAAAGAAGCATACTATTATTCCGAAACACCAAGTGACTATTGACATTATCGATGAAAATAATGAAAATATTAAGTCATTCGGCTTTATTCAACCAGTTCGTATTATTGCTGAAGGTAAAATATTTTTAAAACATTTTCATAACTGGTGATAGTTATTTTTTTTCTTCGAAGTTACTCGGGCTAAATGCCAAGAAAGAGCTACTCAATATAGTCGAACTACAGGAAGTGAGGAAATTGAGATACAACTGATGAATCAAAATGAGGATGAAGAGGTTGATGATAATCATGTGTACACAAATGAAAACTTTGATCGTAAAGATGACAATGATTATCTACTATCAATAACAGGTATATTAAAAAGTCTGTTTCATACGTAAAGCGTGGAAATTATTTTTTTAGATTTTATTACAACTTACAATGTCAAAGAATCGACATCAACTTTCAGCTCATCTAGTGGATACAAGCATAATCAGAATGGTGAAAAATGTATTAGATCGGGTGATGATGATGAAATTGAAGAAGATGAATTTAATTATATAACACGACGTCCTTCAAATAAAAATAATCGATTTAACTCATGTTCGTTGAAATACTAAAATTTTTGATAAAATGTACTCGTTCAATGACCTTATTTCTTATCTCTGTATCATCTTATTGAATTATTTCTTTTTTGTTTAGATGATTCATCATCTGTACCATTGGCCATTGATGAATATTCAATTAAAAATCACAACACCCAAAAAAATAATGCTATACAAGTAGTAATTAATTTTTTATTTTTGGCTTATTCATATATTTATTTTTCAAGATATTTCATCTAATGTGAATAGAGATGTTAATGATATATCTGAACACGGTGATGATGATGATGATGATTTAATATTGTGACGTGTGAAACCAATGAAAAAGAAAAGAAAAAGAACTGTATGGATTTTGAAATTTGTAAAGCATTTTTTTCTTTCTAACTTATACTGTACTTTAGTCTCGATCAATACAAGCAAATTCAAATGTAATTGTTGCTACTGAAGTTTCAAATATTCAAAAAGAATTCTTATCAGTTCGGTGCAACGTTGAAAAAAGGCTCAAATATCATGAAATCAAAATATTTGATAATGTAACACCACCATCACAACAACCGTTTCGAATGTCACAGTCAGAATTAGCTGAATTAAAACGTCAGTTAGAGATTTTATTAGAAAAAGGTTTTATTCATCCTAGCAATACACTATATGCTGCTCCAGTTTTGTCTGCAAAGAAAAAGGATGGTACATTACATATGTGTATCGATTACTGTGCATCAAATAAAATTACAATCAAGAATAAATATCCAATTCCACATATAGATGAAATGTTAGATTAGCTTAGTAGTGCAAAAATCTTTTCGAGACTTGATTTAAAAAGTAGAGATCATCAAATTAGAATCAAGGATGATGATATCGAGGTAACGAATTGCTGTAAAAATCTCGAAAAAAAAATCTCGAAAGAAAAAAAGCCGAAAAAAAAAATCTCGAAACGCGAAATCTCGAAAAAAGAAAATCCCGAACAAAAAATATCGAAATTAAAAATTTCGAATTTCAAAATGTCGAAAAAGTAAGATCTCGAAATATAAAATTTCGAAAAAATACGATTTCGAATAGTTAAAATTTCGAAAATCAAATCTCGAAAGATGTCATATCATTCTATTACAACTTAGCTAGTTTCATATAAATATTCTTACCAATCGAGCATTTTCTTTCATTTTCGTCCGTCTAGTCTTGCTTTCTGTGTTTACAAGTTATGTTTTCTTCATTTTTCCTTTCTTATATATACGTCGTCCATAGTAAATGAACTATTTTCATTCTTTCACCATCCTTCTATACACACGATCATCTTTTGCTTCTTTGTTGTGCTTTGTAACTTTATACTTGATAAACATGGCACAATCTACTACAAATGAAACACCTAAAATTTCATTTATCACAAGTAATAAAAATAAACGTCTTCTCTTAATCGATGGTTACGTTTATCAACTAAACAAATCCACATCGAAGGTGTGTTATTGGAAATGTGAGGAAAAAACATGTTGGGCAGGTGTTCATCTTGATAATAATGATAAATTTATTAAGTTTATCACATCTGATCATACTCCTATGCCCATTCCTGAACGACTAGAGGTTCGCAAGCTGATGACAAATGTAAAAGCTCGAATCAATAGTGAAACAACAGCTATCGGTCAGATTTACAATGAAGAACTAGTAAAAGCAAATTTATCAAAATCTGCTCTTGCTGTTGCTGCTACTGCTCGACAAGCTAGTAGGTGTCAACTTTTCTTCTTTGAATAAATTTGATAATCTATGCCTTGTAGATTCTGCACTTAATCAAGCTCGTCGATTAACAACACCTACTCTTCCCACCTCCATTGACTTTGATATCCCATCTAAATATAAACGAACAACTAATGGTGAACGATATTTATTAACTGATCGTGTTCAGCATCGCGATGGTAAAGTTATCAATCGAATCATTCTCTTTGCCACCGATGAACAACTTCGTACTCTCTTCACCTGTTCTCATATCTTATTAGATGGTACTTTTGATTCATCTCCTCCTCATTTTGATCAGATTTATTCAATTCACGGTATCAACAATGATCATAGTAAGTTATTCTTATCATCTTACATGATCACTTACATCTAATCTGATTATAAAGACTTTGTTTGTGCTATTGCTGTACTTGGTGGTCGATCTGGTATTATATACAAAGAGCTGTTCTCGATTCTTACTCAACATGCTCGTCGACTTAATCTTCAATTTCGACCATCAAAAATCTCATCCGATTTTGAACCTGCTCTTGTTAAGACGGTGGCAGATGAAGTAAGTTCTCTTTTATTTTCTCTCGAATTAATTCTTATCATAATCTTTAGCTGCCTAACGCTCGTCATGTTGGATGTAATTTTCACTTTGTTAAAGCAGTTTATCGACAAATACGACAACTTGGTTTAACTATTGTTTATCGTGATGATGAAGCTGCACGTTCAACTGCACGGCAACTTATGGCACTTGCACTTATTCCCGTCGAAAAAGTTGAGGATGCTTTTGAACAAATTGCAAGTGAAGCTCCACATTCAATTGAACCATTAATCGAATACTTTAATGGATATTGGATGACAAAGGTGAAGTGGAGCTTATGGAATGTTG